CTCCCTGCCCAGTGATTCAGTCCTTTCCAGCTTCTTGAAGGTCACCTTCAGCTGCCTCCCTGTTCACGCTTCACTTTCTCCCAGTTCCATTTCAGTGCTCTGGGCAATAACAGGTTGCAGGATTCAGTTTCTCAAATTGGCATCTTAAAAAAACCCTGCTTTGAAAATCTAAACACTCTAATGATCATGTGCATCCACTCTGCAGGCTTTATATAATAATTTTGGTTTTCCTCTTGTTGACATTCAAGAACTAAAGCAATGCACTGTGCTTTGAAAATCCAAAATACAGAAGCAGCAAATTCTTCCTGTTTTGAAAGCTCTTCAGCAACAGCTACTTCACTCTAGGAGCTTTCTTTTATGATACCCTCAGAGCACTGCCCAGTGTTTTGAAATGGCACTTAAACTTGATGATAAAATGCAATAATTTTAGAAAACCTCTAGAAAAGTAGGATCTATGAATGAAACCAAACCATGCAATGTAAGTAGTTGAATAACTCTGACAAGTTGCCTCAGAGGAAGTGTGTGTAAGTCTAGTCCAAGTTGGCTGTTTTCATGATTACATTTTCTTTTTAAATTGTCTGTACCTAGTAAATATATAACCTATTACAGTCAACACCCGAATTTCTTTCCTAAATGTCTTGGGGGTAAATAGAGAAGCGAGAAAAGGTTTAGGGGAAATAGCTGGGTCAAGAATTCTCATATTCATGAAGACTAAAGGTTTTGTATAACATTCAACCCGGGCAGCTGCTCGATTGCACTGCTCACAGCTGAACAGCCCTGTGATGATAACCCCAAGGGAGCTTGTCTGTACCCCAGCTTGCCTCACCTCCACGTGGTTTAGGCAGATGCTCCTGCAAAGACATTTTTGTTTCTCTTTTACTGAATTCTTTAGCTTCTGTGAAGAACTTTTTTTTTTTTAAAATGAGAATAGAAAATTTCTAACTCCTATAACATCAAAAAAAGACACTTAACTGTTAATATGCACTAAAGGATTCACCAAGGATGACATTTTCGAAATTCTTGGGTCAGCAATCTCATACACTTTTGGGTGCTTTATGCACAGAAGCCATAATTGGAGAGACAGATTTGAACATGGCAGTGTGCCACGCACTTATTAAAATGTAAGTGCCTGAAATCAGCCACAAGCTTTGGGATTTGTTTTATTTGTGAATACGATAGTAAATCTGGAGTTATTCTGAAGCAATAATTATTTTTTGAGATATGTATGGGAAAGCTGCCTCAATGTTTTCTGCTTGCTTACACTGGTGCTGTGTCTCTGTAACTTCTGGTGCTCTGGGACCATGTATTTATCCCCTCTGCACAAGGCTTTCATGCCATTATTAAATATACCTCAGTGTTCTGGGCTTTTTTGGTTAAAGTTCTTTAATATTTCACATAGTTCACACCAGACTAAAGAAACTGTAGAGGGGAAAATTAAAAAAATCTGGGCTATTTGTTTAGCCTGTCTTGTCCAGCATGAACCAGGCAATCAATGAGCTTGTGGGTGAATTACCTGTGCTGGAAATGCCAGAACAGAGGAGTGACAAAGGTAGAGAAGTTATGAAGAGCTGTGCTTCACCTGTGGCATCCTTTGCTCTCACTACAACACTTGATGTTTTGGGGAAATGAAACATCAGGCTTTTTGGAGACCTGGACTATATGGGGCCATCTCTGTTGAAAGCTGAGAACTGGCACCATGCATTTGTCTGCTTCAGGTCTCTGGATTGATTTCACTAATATTTTTCATCTGGCAGCTATTAATTTTTTTTTTTTTTGTAACTGATAAACCTGGACAGAGCAGTTTGGAGAACTTACAGTGGATGTTCAGAGCTTTAAATTTAAGATATTTTACCTTCTTAAAATGCATAAGGGGACCTATAGCTTGTTTAAAATTAGCTCAAGTTTTTCTGTGCTGCACTGTTACCTGCATTACAAATATAACTGAAGGTGGGCACTACTACTCTGATAAAATGACATCTTAGTGTATATGTCCAAATCCTAAAGCTGTTTAATAATTTACAGGAGGAAGGTGTCCAGAATGAATTGCTCATTAAAGATTTAGAGACTTTGAAGCTTCAGACTCTTCCTGTACCACAAAACCAGAGCGCTTCCCTAACAAAAAGCAGGAAGAAGGCAGGGAAAGTGAACAATATGGAACATGAATAGTAGTTCTGGAATAGACAGAGCAGGGAAAACGCCAAAAATATCAAAAAAATAATTTGCCACCGTACAGGTCTTAAAGCACATATTGTCTGGAGCGAGATGCTGACCTTGTTAAAGTTATGGGGAATAATTCCAATGGCATTAGCACAGCTTTGCCTGATGAAATGAGGATGGAGGGCGTGGGTTGCATTCAAGGGATATTTCCTTTATTTTTCGGGTTTCTCTGAGGCCTGGAAGAACCGAGGAAGGAAAAGTGGTGTATCCAGAAACGTGTGAATTCCTCAAGCGGAAGCAGCTCAGACAAGGTGCTGGAGCTCACACTGCCTGTATCACTGCTGCACAACTTACACATACTCCCAATTTTCCTGTGAGGTTCTGTGATTCCTGAAGTGTACCAGGGCTGAAGTCAGTGAATCTTCATGCAGGACTGGAAATCTGACTTTACTAGACTCTTTAAAAGTACTTTGTGAAATTACTTATGCAAAGCAAAACACTATATATACTTCTTGGAATAATTTTCTCATGTCTGGAACCAGAGCTTAAATGATTTTTTTAAATTATTGATTTTATAGATATTGCTTAGTATATTGTAGTAATAAAATCCTTCAATTACCAAATTAGTATTTCCCAAGTAAAATATGGTAAGTCCTAAGTGAAAAATGGATTGCTGCCCACAGTTGATAGTTTAATAGTGGAAATGCTGTTTAATTTTATTATTATTCAAATTTATGCTCGGTTTTCTCAATTAGCATATAAATACTATAAATCACTTATATGGAAAAAGCATTATCCTGGGATATTTCTACTGATTTTGAATAGCTGAGTAAGGCAAAATCTTGGCAAGCACATAGCAGGGAACATAACTAGGCTGAACAGGGTTGTGGTGCAATGAAAAATGTTTGTTTTCTGCAACTTAGTTTCTGTGCAAGAATTTGTGGACCCTTAAGTAGGAATCAGAATCTTTCTTTCTTTAATCTACTCATGTAAAGGAGTAACCATTTCCTTTTATGTGTATATTTTTTTTGAGCTGGTTCACCTGTGTGTTCTGTAGCAGAAGCCTTTTTTTGAGGGTGAGTTCAAGCTCCTCTTTGGCACCTCTGAAAATTGCTGCTGAAAGGATGCTATTCCTGTAGCCACCTTTTGCCCAGTGTATGTATAAATTAGTAATTCAGCTGAGGAAAATGTGCTAGATCACTCTGCTTTCTCAGTAGAGAGCCAGAGTAAGGAAACAGATTGAGCAGCTTGGATGTTTACAAATGAGCACCATTTTAGATCAATGAAAGGGGAAGTGACAAAGCCAATGATTCATTAAGAAAAATCTATTTTCATCCTTATTTTGTGTGTGTGGACTCAAGTATTGATATCTTCAGTTATAGCAGTAGAATTAGGTAGCTTTTAGGCCATTTAGTGTTTTTAGGTCAAAGTGAACATCCTAATCTTTTTCCATTCTTAATGGATAGCCAGACGAGGGAAAGGAATATCAATTTAACTTCCTCCCTGACAAATACTCAGCATAAGAAATGACCTATTGTATTACCATGTGTAACTTGGGACAAGAAGCCCCCCCCGTAGACCTCTAATGCACGTCTGGGGTGCACCACGAAGTTGGCAGTGCTTGTATTGGAAAAGAGGGAAACAAATGCTGGTGTTTGATCTGTCTGCTTGCAGAATGCCAGAGGGAATTGTTGTGGGTGTGTGAAGCACATACAAGAGCTCAGCTGAGCTGCTGCCCTCGGAGGGGTGAAACTTCTGCCGCTCTAGAAGCATTGACACTGCTCAGCCAAAGTCACCCCAGGGCACATTCAGACTTTCCTCGTGCTCTTCAACCACCCGAATTTGGAAGGAGAGTTAATTAAAGATGTACAAAGGTTCATGCCTAACTTTATTATAAATGCAACTGTGACACAATTTTTCAGGTGAAACCTACAATGGAAGGGAAGAAAACCTGCATTTTAAATGAAGTAGCTCTGCACTCAGGATGAAAAGCTGGAGAGATCTTGACTAGGCAAATTAACCTACCTACCCATTTATTCCCTGCTGAAAAAAAATTATTTTTAGCATGCCTGTGACACGTTTAATAATTACTTTTCTCTGTAGTCAAAGGCTCTGTTTAACAAAACAGAAATGAAATGGGGAGTTCAGCATGAAGGGAGAGGTGTCTGTGTAATCATCTTTATCTTGCTCATATTAATGTCCTGGGAATGCATTGCCTCAGAACCTACAGCTACCCTCTGAAAGCAGAGCAGAAATAATTACCTGTGTTGAGTGCTTGTTCATATCCAGGATAATAAAGTTTCAAATCACTTGTGAAGGATTTGGTCACAATAAGTGCTTGGTAGGCTGTAGAACCAGAAAAATGGCATCACAGACATCATTTAATGCTAAGATAGTGGGGAATTTCCTGAGATGGGTGCTGTGTATGTTGGGCAGGTCAGCCTGGATTGCTCCCAGAACCCAAAGGATAAGACTTGCTGGAGGAGAATTGTTAGGATCCCAGCACTGGGGCAGTTTCTGTATTGAGCTAACACAGGGCTGAAAGCTCTCACAGCAACCAGAGGCCATTCAGAGCATCTTCTTATGTCTGGCTGCTTGCAAAAGAAAAGATCAGCTTAGAGGGGAAAAAAACATAGAAAGTCCAAAACAAGATAAACCTCAGTAATTGGCAGAAAATATCAAATTAATGGAACCTCACTGAAAAAGCAGCATGAGTTTTATATCATTTCATATGCTTTGTCCATTTAGGTGCCTTTTTTTTAATTATTAATTTTTTATTAACATCTTTCAAGTAAAGCACTGAAAAATGCTTTGACTGCAGGGTTTTGGAATGAAATAACAAATTCACTGTGTAATTTGTCAGCAATTGGGAATAGAATTTCTCCACTCCCATTTCGCTGAGGGCATTTGCTCTATTGTTAGTCTCTTTCTGGTCATCTCTACTGCCTGAGAAAGGAAAAAAAAAATCTGTATTTTTATTACCTTCCCTGAAGAAATTGAGTGACAGGGGTTTTTTTCCATGACTGACTGCTGGGGAAAAAAAAAAAAAAAAGTTATGGCTGGGTTATGACTATTTTCTCCTGCTGTGATGAGATTAGAGAAAGTTGAAGTCAGCACCTAGTTGTGGATAGTCATCAATACAGATGACATACAATAAGAATGAAATCTAGTATTTCATTCACCACTGGAGCAGCAGCTCAGTTTCTGAGCTCACTTCCTCACTAAGAAACTTCTCTTGAAAGAACCATCATTAAATTATGTTTCTCAGCTTCTCAGGATGACACCCACTTTCGAACTTAGCACTCACACAGTAGGAAAGAAATAATTAATTCTGAGCTTTCAGTTCTCTCTATTGACTTGCAAGAGGAAAAAAATAATGGAACAATTCCTTTCAGGTCTGAAAAGAGGATGAGATATATACTTATTCATCAATGTCCTTGGACAGTGTGTCCCTCCACCATGAACATTTATTGTGTTTTTCAAATGTTTATCCCAAACTGTGGTAAAGTTTTAACATGTTTAGTTGAATTAAAATATTCTTTACAACTTCATGTTTTTTATGGAATTTTGGGAGTGATCCAGGAGTGGATTTCACTTGAAAAGTAAAAGTAGTTACTTAAACTGTATTTTGAAATATCTGAAGTGAACAGTTTTGGAAGGCTTTGAAGCCCAGTAAATTCCCTACATTGTGTTACAATTCAGCTCCCTCACACGAGGTATTAGTTCGAACTATTAAAAGTTTGCACCTATATTACAAGGCTTTGCAAGTCCAATATCAGCTTCAGATGAAAATTTATGACTGTAATCTAATTTTCTGAAAATAAACACAATTTGGAGATGACACCTCACTGTGCAGCATCGATGTGAACGCCCTCAGATGCCCACAGCTACACCTGTACCTACCCAGGCTGTTGGAACCATGTGGCTAATGTGTTGTAGGACAGTAGAGAAAGTGTAATTAATAGTTAGGCATTCTATTTTTAATGTTCATAGAATGGTCTGGGCTGGAAGGGAGCTTAGATCATCTTATACCAAACCCCCTACCATGGGCAGGGACAGCTTCCACCAGACCAGTTTGCTCAGAGCTCCATCCAGCCTGACCTTGAGCACTTCCAGGGATGGGGCAGCCACAGCTTCTCTGGGCAACCTGTGCCAGGGCCTGGCCACCCTCACAGGCTAGAATGTTTTTCCCCCAATATGTCATCTAAACCAGTCATTCACAAGTTATTTAAAATATACTGTTATCTTATTTTAGCTTAATTTTGAACTCATCTTCACTGTCTGAATGATTCTCTTCACCGGGGGAAATGGAAGTGATCTCATTCTGTTACCCCATGAAGAATCAACCAGGAAAATTTCACTGGAGGCATCAGGTATTTTAACTGTGCATTTGAGCAAATTAATTTTCTTAAACTCATTTCTTGAGAACAGGCCATTGTGCTGCAGAGATCCTGTTTGTGTTACTGCTCCAGAATCCAAACATTACTCTCACTGTTCTTCCCATCCTACAGATTTGTCATTAGACTGTTCTGTTCTGCTCCACTGTTTTTTCTAATTATACTATATATTGCGTTCTCATAAATTCCATCCCATACAAACAATATACTTTAATCATCTGACAGAACATTATTTCAGTGGCTTCTTCGTAAATTCTGATTGCCCTTATTATTTCACAACACAAAGTCTGTTCAAAGTTACGTGTTTCAGCTTTGATTAGTAGTTCTGTTTTTCTCAGCAGCACAAAAGACAGCTAATACATTTCCTCTGGGCTGGCTTTTGGTTCAAAAGCTGGGCTTGCTACTATGGAATATGGAAATTGAGAGTGTAACAAATATGAGTGTGACAAGCTCGATTTCTGCTTATTACATTAACACTGGGATGTTGTTTGGTGTTTGGTTGCTGTTTATTCGTGCCAATAATCCATCTTTTCCTCGGCAGCTGAACCACACCTAATACCAGTTACAGCCATTACCCTGATTCGGACTGCTCTGAAAATCGTGTTGTCATATTTAGTCTTCACTATTTATTTGGCAAGCTCTGGGATTTGAGAGGGGAAGAATATGTACCTGTTGAATTAGAGGGCTCAGTTGTTTCTGGTGTGAATTGAAAAATTGCGAAGTGTTGCTTAGTCACCATTGCTATCCATCAGTATTAATGTGCAGCTTACTCCAACTGGACATGAACCACCTCGTGTGAAAAGCAATTCACAAGTGAAATCATAGATCCTAAACCCTCGAGGCTCAGGCCATTTTATTATAATCCAATGATGATTACCACACAGCCTTTACTTTCCATTCAGGTAATATAGTTTGCGAGATATTTGGAAACTCATCTTCAATTTAGACCTGAGTATTCGTATCTGAACAACATTACTTTGCCATTTTCAGGTTTGGTTTCATTTATGATTGTGTTACGTAATGGCATCGAGATAATTAAACCATGACAGGATCTGTTTCAAATTTCCTGGGGAAACATCTCAGTATGAGCCCTCTGTTGTTGTGTTACACAGTAACTCTGCCCTCATTATTATAACAAAAAGGAATTTTGGTTGAAAGAAGACCATGTAACATCAGAAGGAGCAAATTACGCATCTTGCATTCTCTGAATTTCTCAGAGTTTTGGAGTGGCTGAACTCTGCGATTCTGCCTTCATCAACACTCCCAAAGTACTCTCAGGTGTCAGGCAGGTAAAGGGAAAATCCAAACAGCCAAAAAGCCAGGGAAGAGTTTATTTAAGTTTGCCAACAGTCATGTGGGTTTCAGTGCACTGGCTTTCATGTGTGTGCTTTCATGCTTGGAGGGATTAAATCCAGCACAGGTTTGCTGACATTCACTGCTGGGTCCTCATCTGTGATGTGGCTGAAGGACATTCAGACTCTCCTTAAAAACATCTTCCAGCATAAATGCACTCCAGGCTGGAACTGCCCTACCAGACCTGTGTAAGGTGTGCTTTTGTTGGGCCCTCACCCCCCTTCTCTAGCCTGTGTGTCTTGCAGCTTCACTGCTGGGAGAGCTCTGAACCCACAAAATATTTTCTGTGGAAGAACAGAGAAGGAGCTGAACAGTTCTCCACCCACAGCCAAGACCCAGAGGTTGTCCTATAGATAAAGAAATAGGTTTCAGCCTCAGGTAAGGTGGCCTGGGCATTATGACCTGTAATAAGACAATGAACAGAACACTTTCATCTTCTCCTGTAAGTGAATTTGCAGGTGGCTGACTCCTGCCTCTATTTTTAGTAATTTATTCACTCCCTTAAACCAGCAAATGAAAAAATGAGTTCTCTTCCTGGCTGACATTTGCATCTTCATTAAACATTTCATTAAATTATTTCCCAGCAGTTTTAATGATGCTCACTGCCAGCTCAGGATGTACCTATCTCATGGCGACCTAAATTGGTGGGTTTGACTGATTGGAAAGGACACAATCACCCCTACCCATGGCCAAAATGCAGCAGTGTCAGAGAAGGGCTGAACTTCCAGTAGGCACTTTACCATTTAATGCTGTCTCCCCTTCAGTTCCAAACTACTCCTAAATATTTCCATATTCAGCAGCACCAAAATTATCTTCACAAGCATATGTGCACACTAGGAATGCTTATAGGTCCTGACATGTCATATTCTGATTTATATTCATGGATTTGACGCTAAGATTTATTTCATATTTGTATTCAAAGACTTCATTAATAGGAAATTAGCACAAAATATAGTCAAGTAATAGGAAAAATAGAAAATTTTGGATTAACTGCCTTTTTAATATCTGACTTGAACCCCTCTAGTGAAGTCACCGTTTTCTAGAAAATAACCTTATTGAATGCTCTGGATTATATTATTACTGCTCTGGATTATATTATTATTAATGGATTTTTAAGAACATCTATAATAGCTGGAAGATTAATCCATTCAAACGAGAAAATAGATTACAGTATTAATGTACTGTGTTTGTAGTAAATGCCTCTTCTTGGATGTTGTGTAGAAACACATTGATTGTGTGCAAGTCCAGCACTGTGAGGTGAGATTTGTGTAATCACAAGGTAGTTGCTAAACCAAGAAAAAAATAGCAGAGTGATAAAACTTCATTTGTTCACTCAAATGCTTATTGATTAATGTTTATTTTCTCATTTCAGCTCAATACACATTTTGTGAAAAAGCTAACTGCTCGTGACAAGACAATGTATGAGATTTGGCTGTAAATTAGAATTTGTTTGGCACCAAACAGGACATTTGGCACTGAATAGAGTTCAGATAACAAGTTTAGATATGACACAGAGAATGAGGTTGGATATGACTGAATATTAAAAAAAATATTCCTTTAAATTCACTAGGGGTTCAGTTTTTATCTAGGTTTTATGTGCCTGCAGGGTTTACAACTCTGGCCCTCTCCTTTAGAAATTTCATAAGTTATACTTGGATGAAAAAATAGTATGTTATAATAGAAGCTTCTTCAAATCTTAACAAAAAGCAGCTCTACATATTTGGCTCTTAATTGTAGGAATGAAATAGATGGTAGTAGAGTAAATGTCAATATATTTTCTTCGTCGGTTAAAATATATAAAAACTTAAGATATCAGAGATTTGTAAAGAACCTGTATTTTCTGAGATTTTTTTTTTTGCCTGCTTTCTTGCCACGTCACTGATTTTGTTACTTTAAATAAACTTTGCATGAAGTAACTTCCAGTGTTGAAAAACAAATATTTAGCTTTTCCTAAGAATCATATACTAGGATATTGCAAAGTCACCCCCAGTAATGTCACTTTGACTGGAAACAGATTCCAGGTTTTTATCTCTTACATTACTCATACTTGAACTTGATTTTTAGTGACGATTATGCAGCTATAAATGAAGACAAACAGATCAATAACACTGTCAAAGTTGACTGCAGAAGCATCTTTATACCTTTTAGTAACTTGAACAAACAGCATGTGCTGCTATGGGTGGTCTGGTCTTCTGATACCTGTTTTATTTACAAAGTGAGGAGTGGAATAGATTTATCATGTAATATCAGCAACAAAGAAAAATTTGTGAGGCTTATCAGTACTTTAAAGTTTGCTGTTAACAAAACTTTGCTCAGCTTCAAGAAAAGCTCTTTATTGTGTTTTAACGTGGAATGGAATATTGTGCTGAACTCATCATTGTATTTATTTTTATTATGTACAGAAACTACAGTGACATGAGCATTTTCTAGAACTGGGAAATTAAACAGGTTATTACTCTCTATCTGAAGAAAATTAGTGCTGTCATTGCAAGGCTATTATTTCTATTCATTTTCAGTGCAACAAATTGGTTTTGCAAGGTTTTGTTACTCTTCCCTCCCATCCCCACATCTGTCTTGTCTCTGCTGAGCTTGGGTTAATGAGGGGCCACATGCATTTTGCCTATTTTAGGCTCAAAAATAAATTTTCTTACAAAGCATATCAATGATGTTATTAATCACACAGTGCCTTTATAATGTTTTTGTGTTAACTGTATTTTTGATGCTTACTCTTATGCTAGTAGGCGTAATTATTCTTTAAATAACAAAGAAAATTATGCATACATTTATACATTCATGACATTTGAAGACTATTGTTTCCTAATGGAGGTATAAATCACTGCTTTTTATAATCTTTTGAATTTTGTCAGTGAATGGTGTCATAACTATTATTTAATAACAGGCAAAAGGCCTCATCAGTAACTTAACTTTCCTGCAGATGATCCTCCTCTGTGTATCACTGCTCTGCAACTCTGTGTTGAAGAACAGAGAATGTTAATTTGCCTCGATAAATGCATGAGATCACTGCAAAAGTTAGAGGAAATATGAAAATAAACTGACATGCATCTCTGATAACACTGGAAGGGTTTGTTATTACTAGTTTCATTTCTGTTTTCTGTTGCTCTTTCTAAGATCACCTGGGAGATCCCCCAGCAGGGAGATGCTCCTGGTTGAGGCTGAGTCTTCAAATGAATCTCCAGGCTGGACAAGGCTCCACTAACAAAGTTGAGTTCTGTTTAAAATACATTATTGTCTTATGACTGACAAAACACATCTTAGAGATGATTGGCTAAAATACAGAAGTGTAAACCTGTAAATTCTGTGATTTTGCATGTCTCGTGTACCAGTCTGTACTAATTTGGATATGCAGTGCTTGGCTTTTAAAATTTATGGCATCCCCATGACATTTCTCAGTGTGGAATGATGACCAAATTTTCAGTCCTAATTTCCCTATAAAGTGGCTTGTTAGGAAATGTGTCCTGCTTCCTAACCCAGACTATGCAAAACCTGTCAGGAAACAGAACATTTGATTCTTTTAAATGCTAAGAAGATATTTAAATAAGGAACAATATAATTTGCTTTCTTTTTTTAATACCTTGCCGCTTTCATTACTCACTGCCCTCTGGGCCTCTTCTAGCACAGCATCTTCTGCATTTAAAACTAGTGAAAGTTTTGAGCCATCATTACATGTTAGTAAAATCTTTAATTTTTTTTTTTTTTTTAATTCTGAAATTGGAATGTGTGGTGCTCAGGACAGGAATATTCAGCCTTCAATTAGTGAACTTCTTAGGTTCTGGTATATCAAGATTCATTGATATTAACTTATTACCATTTAAAAAACCCACATATATTCCCACTTTCCAAACCTCAAGGTCCCTGTTCTGTCACTATAGTCCTGATATGAAGCATCATACCATTTTCAAGGTTGAAAGGACAACATTATTTATATATGCATAAAAGCTATTCTGGGTAATTTTTGTAATGTTCTGATAAACGTGATTGACTATAGCTCCTTCCTCCTTTCCAGGACCACGCTGTTGGATTTATAATACCAGACGGGTCGAGATTTATTGTGGTAGGATACATAAACACTAAAAAAATCTCAGAAATTGTAAGTCATATGTAAAAGATAGAACTTACATGGCAACACACAGCAGTTTGATCGTGCCTCTTTTGGAACGCTCACAATCCTCTTATACCCTCACTTGATCTCTCTTATACCCTCACTCCTCTTATACCCACACTCAAAACTTTGAAGTTTTTAAGTGTGACCTTACTTTCTGTGAGAAGGGAAGAGTTTAGCGACGTTTTCCGAGAGGAAAAGGCTTATTTGGGATTACGAGGTGCCGGTTCCGCCCCAACGGCAGGGCCGGGGAGCAGCAGCATCACTAACGCTCCCCGGCCCCGGGGCCGTGCCCGCCGTTCCCCGACGGGGGTTGAGCGAACGCGGCACCGTTCCCTGACCGGGCCGGGCTCCCGCACCTCGGGGCCGGCGGGGGGCAGGGCCCGGACCTGCGGGAGCCTCTGCAAGGGGCACACCCGGGCCGGGACCCCCGGCCGGAGCCCCTCGCCCCGCGGGAGGCGCAGGACCCGCGGCGCTGAGGGGACCCCGGCCCGGAGGGGCCGTGCCGTGCCCGGCGGTCGGAGGTGCGGGAAGGCTGCGGCCAGGTGAGTGACTCCTGGGGACCAGGATGGGCGTGAGGCCGCGGGATGGCCAGGGAGAGCTTCCCGCAGCCTGCAGGGATTCCCTGTGGGAGCGGCTGCCGGGGCTCCTCGTCCCCATCGTCCCAAGGCGGCTTCGCGGCGCTGCCCAGAGATGAACGGGGTAAGACCCATCCCCACTGCAGGGGAACGTGGCCCCGACCCTCTAAGGCATCTCCGCCCTAGTGGGCGGTCTCATCCAGCCTCTCCTTCCCGCAGCGATTTGCTGCTCCCTCCGCCCGTCGCCTCGCAGCGCTCCCAGGGCGAGAACCTTCTTATTAAGTCTCACCAGCTGTGTCCTGAGCGCCTCCAAAATCTGGGGCGGAGGCACCTGATGCTGCCTATTTAACCACCTTTGTTTAACCAATAGCGCTTTATCAGCGCTGTCTGGTGTATTTTCTTCCTGCTTTGTTGCTGGCACTTGTTCTCTTTCCCATATTACATCACGAGGTCTGCGGCCCCCAAAGCGCGGAGCAGGGTGGTTGGTTTAAGTGCCCTGCGGGCAGTGGGGTCAGGGAGCGGTGAGGCTCCAGCCGGAGCGCTGTGGCAGCTCAGGATGGCCCGAGGAAGCGACGAGAGAGTGCTCGGTAGGGTGTTTAACCAGCGCTAATGAGGAGGCTGCATCGCCCCGCTGTGTCACGGGTGACCTCCTTTCAGAGGGCTGTCAGCGATAGCGTGTCCCCGGGATGGTGTTTTAATGCTCATTCACGCTCGTGGCGAAGCGGTATTTGTGCCGCTCCATTTTTCTCCCGGCGTTGCTGCTGTCACACCGCACAGCTTGGCGCTTCCTCCAGCGAACGGGAGAGATGTACAGTTCCATTCATAATTTTCTTCAGTCTGTCGTCTCTTTAGCTGTTTTTGAGCGCTTGGCAATGAAGTTAAAATCTCTCAAACTTGTTCTTTTACGTCGGTTTTGAAGACAGAGAACAAAAAGGGCTTTAAAAAGCGTAAGCAGGGTAAAAGGAAACATTTGTTTCCAGTGTGCTGTAGATGCATCTTGTGAATCATCCTGGGGTTCATTTTCATTTTGCCACAAATACAGTACCTATAAGATCACAGAGGATCTGGAAGAAACAGAGACCTCCAGGGGGAGTTTTCTGATCTTGCATTATCTGCCCTGGGAGCCCCGACGCCTGTTGAACTATTGATCTCTCTCCCCCCTCTGGAAAGGGTTTTGCAATGCAAAGAAATAAGTCCTTTGGATTTTTGCCTTTCTTCTTCCCTCGGGTAAAAGTCTGTGTGTCCCTTGCAATGAGTGGTTAACGGTGGCATCAGGTGTGTCACCAGGTGATCTTGTGTGGAGACATTTCAACATAAGTGCATTAAAACTTACATGTGACTTCCTATTCTGTGGGAGCAAATGAGAGAATCATGTACTTAAGTAAGCACCTCTTCTAATATACCAAAATTAGGCTTGTCTTTAATGATGTCTTAAAGTAGCTTTGATGCCTTTGTATTATTAGGACAAAGAGGCCGGTGTCACTGAAGACTTACTCAGACTTATGTCTTTATTTCATGTTAGTGGCATTTAATTCTTATTTAATTCTGGAAGGCTTTAGAAGTTAAATGCTGTCACAGAAGAATTTGTAGGAAAGTTCGATTCTTGAGTCACGTTTGTGTTTTGGTTCTGAGCTTGTCAGATGAAAAGTGAGTTTTGTCAGTCTTCATAGTGGTTGCAGGGCCAAACCAGAACAGAGCTGGCTTTTTACTGTGTGCTCTGCAAGGACGTTCCTATTGATTGTGACCCATGTTTGTGCTGAAGAGAAAAAGCAGTAGAGAGGCAGGCAGGAATTCTGTTGCTACACTGTTATTTTTGAGCATTTTCACTGATGGAATGAGTGAATATATGATAAAATGAGCATATTGTTATTATGAGCATATTATATGATAAAATGAGTGATTAATCATAAAATGAGCAAATTTGTCATTGTGCAACCTATAAAAAAGCCCTGAATGGTACCATTTTACAGTGCTAATTTCTAGCTTGTGATGCTGCAAGTTCTATTTTCTTGCTGCCATAATTTCATAAGAAAGGTAGTGAATTTCCTAAACCAAGACTAGTTTGTTTTCCAGGTGCAAGCCTGGGACTGATGTTTTCTAAATGTTAACAGGTCCTAGAAGAATTAGAACTGACTGATCAAACTGTAGGGTTAGTTATCATCAGGCCATAAAACTCTCATTTTGTTTGATTACCATTTTACTTTTCCTTCTGCTTGTGTACTTTTCATTGTTTTAGAAGTTTAGGTTGATTATGTAGGCTTGGTTTATTGTATGAGTTCACCAGGTACCGATAAAATAAATTAAACTCACACATTAAAGCAGTGTAAAGCAAAGTATTTCAGCTTTCTATCAGAATTAAGTATTAGATTCTGGCTTTGAATATTCACGAATTATCAACTTCTAAAGTATCTGTGCCTCATCCATTTATCTTTGGGACTTCTTCAGTATTAGAATCATGAAATCCCTGATTTTAGACCAATATATTTTCTTAATCTCCATAGACAAAGTTTGCAAGCAGTTATTCCCATTTCAGATGCTGAAGTGGGTGAGAGAGAGATACCTCTCCAGTAGTTCAGAGCTTGCTTCTGTGAGGGTCAGCTCTGAGTAAGATTGATTCATCCAGGGGTTTTAAATGATTTATTCAAATTACTTTAAATTCACTCTTAATTAGTCTAAATTAAAGTGTTGTCCCTTTGGTTTGTATTAATTTTAAAAGCACAAAGTACTTTAATTCTAAATGAGAGCAACCCACATTGGGATTTAACAAGCTCGCTGGTAAGTGGCTTTGCCTAATCAAAACTGTTGTAAGTTTGTCAGTCTGGACAAATCTGCAGATTCTGATGGTGGAAAGACTGATCCCTGTTAAAACTTCTGATAAAGCTCCTAACAACTTCCCCAAAAGTCTCAATCTCAAAGCCTGTTCATTGATCGTGTGTTAAGCAGCCTTAAGACAGAATTCCACAGGCAATAGCAAGCGTGAAGGAGAGTTGATTTTACATGGAACAGGAGCAATGTAACTCAGCTCTCAGTGCAAGTATTCTGATTATGTAGAGTGGTTTTGCCTCTGAGATAAATATCACTTGCATTCAAGGCTCTAATTTTGAGTACTTCACTGGGCACAGTTCTCATTTCTTTTATATTTGTCTTATAACAATCATATGAAGTATGTGCTTTCAGTGAAGTTACTCCAGATCTTCTTCTAGGTAAATTCTTCTGAGAATTCCTATCTCAGGTCCCTTATGTGAGAGGCAGGCTCTGACAAAATGTACCCAGGTGTGTCTGTGATACCAATTAAGTGTGGTGTATGCCTGCAATTTGTCTCCCTTTCTCTTAAACGCAGCTCCCTAGACCTGGGATCTGACCAATTCATT